GGAGGGGCAGAGAGAGAGGGAGACACAGAATCGGAAACAGGCTCCAGCTCTGAGCCATCAGCCCAGAGCCTGACGCGGGGCTCGAACTCACGGACCGCGAGATCGTGACCTGGCTGAAGTCGGACGCTTAACCGACTTCGCCACCCAGGCGCCCCTGAATTGTTTATTCTTTAAAGAAACTAAGAATTAAAGAATTTAAATCCTGGCTCATGACTTACTCTATGACTTGGTTTGATCACTTAAAGTTTTTATCCAGTGTGCTCACTTGTAAGATGAGGATTTATCATTCCTGTCTTACATTATCTATTTGAAGATAAAGTGAAATAATAATTATACACAAAAAGAGAGGAATAAAACAACCATTTAGAGGTTGGCAGAGAAATCATTCCAGTGTTTGTATAATTTGCAAGCTGTTTCGAACCCCTTTGCAAGAGCAAGTTTTAATGAACTATGCCAGTAATTTTTTTCTTACTTATTTTTCAGGTGAAACTGTTCTTTGAATCTCTTAAGGCCCAAGGACCATATCTAGGTACTTTTCAAATTATTCTGGAAGCCATATCCAAAAATATCAAGTGGCTGAAGAAGAATCTTCCCACTCTGAGGACTTGGCTACTGGTTAGTATTTAAATGGTCAGTAGAAAGAGCACATCAGATGTGGGCATGAAGTCAACAAATCTCAGGTCAAAGTCCTGGATATTTTGTCTAAAACAGTAAGAAGCCTCAACAAATCAACCAGCACAGATGCCTGCTCTCAGCTGTTGTTTCTAGCTGACAGATGTATGATGTTGAGGTAGGGGAAGGCCAGTTCAGTAGGCTATTTAAATGTAAACTTCCTGAATAATGGAGATATGTGGAGATGGAGATATAGATGTAAAGACATAGCTGTAATAGATTAGCTGCACCACAGACTACCTACATTGCCTTAAATCACGACACTCTTTGCTTCTTGGATGCTTTTTCTAATCTTGTTATGCAAACTGGAGTTTGCTCAGTTTTATCTTCAAGGAAACATAGTCAATTCTTTTTTTAAAATTTTTCATTTGCATCTCTTCATCTCGTTGCCTTCTTCTTCCTTCATCTCAGACTGAATAGTTCATTTGATTTTTACTATTCATGGAAAATCAGAATCAAATTATGAAGTTTAAGGATCAGGAACACAGAGAATTTGTCATCAGATCTCAGATTATTAGAAACCAGATGTCAGCGTTTATCAGTGAAGCTGGGAGGGCTGCTTGACTTGAGCCTCACACTCCTAAAGAACCTCAGAGACAGCCTTTTGAGGTCATCTCCATGGGCAATAAAATCTGCAGTCACAAAGGTGCAGGAGAGAAAAATGATGCCTCACTGCTTTAACCCATACACTAATGTATTGTTAATACATCTTTGGAAAATTGCAAAATTAGACTGTACTGTGTATATTTCTGGTTAACTCATGGTTTAATGGAAATATTTCGATGAATCATCATATTGTATAACCCAGCTTTAGTGTTTCTTCATATTTTAAGAGAAACTCTTGATCTCTGAAGTGCTTTTCTGGATCCTTCTTTTAATTGTGTTAATAAGGTGTTTGGAATGAAAAAAGAAATAACACTCTAAATACAGGTAATACATTTAATAAATTCATGTTCCCACGTATGAATCAATATGAAGATATAAACACATTCTGGAAAGATTTGAATCAGTATACAGATGATTGACTAATTTGGTCAATTAAGGGAAGCTGGACTATTGAGGCTGGGCTTGTGTGGGGAGGGTGTTATCCATTTTGGAGTGGTAGCTTGAAGCTTTAAGATCTTTCTCTGGTTCCACAGGCAGAGACAGGATACAGTTGGGATGGTCCATGGGCATGACCCAATATACATTTTGTTAAGTTTGTTTTCAAATCATTTCTTGGAATCTTTGAAGCATCTTTGACTCTAGATTTGACTCAGTCATGGTCCTACCATGTGTATAACATGTGATGCCACTCTAGAATTATGTGTACTTTTAAATAAAGAAACTTAAAAGTAAAGAATATTATTTTCCCCTCCCCAATAATATGTAAATTAAGCAGCAAGTGTGTATGAGTTTTGGTAGATTTGTGCTGTCGTATTTATTTCCATAAAAGTAAAGTCCTTTCCTTTGTATAGTAAGTTATCTACCATAGGTTTCCAAGTTTTTATTCTCTTCCTTGTAGTTCCTTATTTATATGCACGTGTAACTTCTCAGGTCCTTAACAATTGAGTACAGAAGTAGGTGTAGCAATAGAAGTACCAGTTTTATTATTTGTTGAGAATGAACATGAGAATCACTGTGCCAATAATGTTTTAACAAATAAGGAGTTTTTTTTTTTTTTAAAGAAGTATATTGTACTTAGTGTGGTATTTCAAAACCTTTATGGTAGATAACAAACCCCCAACACAAACTAAGACTTGGCTAAAGTTAGTTTTACTTCCTTTCACCCCAAATGAACAAACAAGTTGCAAAAAAAAACTATAGACAAGATTATGAATAGATGATGGAGAGAGCATATACAACTCCATACCTCGCTGAATGCCAGCAGAGCCTTGGGAGAATTTTGTGGTGTCTGAACCCCACTCAGAATGAGAAATCTCCCAGATCATAGGCGCCCAGAACCAATGTCTTGCTTCCTTTTAGGCTTTGTGTAGGAGGGACTTCAGCCCACAAGAGTCCAGCTTGCCACCATGATAGGAATTTCTTGTGCTACCTCATGTATATAGTTCTGCAATTCATTCCTTGCTGTGTCATTGGGTCTATTTGAGGTTCCAGAGAAGCAAGCAATCAGAGATCAGATTATCTGAAGGAAGTTCCTAGGTTTTTGTTTTGTTTTGTTTTGTTTTGTTTTGAGTGGGGACGGAGTTCATTCCATCCTAACTACAAGAAGGATCTCCAAAGAGACACGGAAGCTAGTTTTCCAGTTGAGCATTGTGTCTACCAAACACAAGGTCATTTAAAATGGCCACGTTTTGGGGCTCCTGGGTGGCGCAGTCGGTTAAGCGTCGACTTCAGCCAGGTCACGATCTCGCGGTCCGTGAGTTCCAGCCCTGCGTCGGGCTCTGGGCTGATGGCTCAGAGCCTGGAGCCTGTTTCCGATTCTGTGTCTCCCTCTCTCTCTGCCCCTCCCCCGTTCATGCTCTGTCTCTCTCTGTCCCCAAAATAAATTAAAAAAAAAACGTTGAAAAAAAAATTTAAAATGGCCACATTTTTACTTCGCAACATCCTTTACTTAGATTCATTACTGGCCTTCTTTCTTCCGTTTAACCATGTGCCACTGTCTTTTATTTCGGCGTGTAATGGTTTACAGCTTTTGCATTTACAGGCTTTAAATCATTTATCTGTTATATTGTCTGCTTCCTGAAATCTTGATCTCATCAAAGTCATGTTTCCAAATCATAAGGAAGAAATGGTGAAACATATTATGAAAGAAGTAGGTTGGCTGGGTTGAAGCACATGTATGTTTTATGTAATCGAATACTTTGATAGTGCCAGATTATCTTCCTGAAAGGGGATGTTAACTCACTTTCTTTTTACCCCTGTATCCTGTGCTTGTCAGTACCAAGTGTTAATCTTTTATATCTAGTAACACTTTCCCAGTAAAGTACAGCTTCCCCAGATATTTACATAACTATGCCACTAGTCTCCTTTGATTGTTACTTGCTTGATACATCTTTCTGTATCCTGTTACCTTGAATTTTTCTATATTTAATTTCAGATGGGTCTTTTGTAAACATGCTATACGTGAATTTTGTTTCCTATTATGTTTCCCATCTTGGGCAAGCTCAGGCTTTCCCATCTGTCCTTTCCACTCTCAAAGGCATAAAAACTGAAGCTTCAGATGCCCTCGAGGTGAATACTGACTTCAGCCTTCTGCTTACCCCTCAGGGTTCCTGCCTTCAATTAGTTTTTGATCCATGACTATTTCTCACTGGCTTTCCAAGTCATCCATACATTCAAACAATTAAAAAATACATTTCAGTCTACATTTTTAATTATTCTTAGTAAGAAGGTCAGTCAAGGTACCTGGTCTAGCATATTCCCAGAAGCTATAATAATTTATTTTCCAATGTGCAAATACCTAACACTTTTACATAAGAGGCTCCTTAGGATGGAAATTGGTTTGCAATATTGACTTCATAGTATTGATTTCTCATAAATAAAATTGTGGGATGCCTAACATTGTATCAGGAAGGTAGTAGTATAAACTACTTTGTTCAGGATTTAAATCAGGAAAATCTTCCAATATTCATAGGGAGAAATGGCTGGAAATTCTGAGAAATGTAAACTTAACTAGCAAGGTAAAAAAAAAAAAGTGTCTATGTTTCAATCACTTATGCAAACTTTACTCTGCATCCATAACTCCAATATCTTTTGCTGCTTTTTTCTCTTTATCCAAAAATTTTCATCTTCTACCATGTTCCCAGGTAAAGTCAGGAAGCCAGTTCTCTACTCTTGGCACATGATTAATCTCGAACTTTTAGGTATTTACACATATGATTTCCCACACTTGAAAGTCATGCCTCCCTCTGTAGAATTATACCATATTTCTTTCTTTCAATACCTCATTTCAGGTTCATGCTTCAGTGTAGGAGATTCCCATGCTAATACCACCTGACATGTCCCTGTAGTCATCCAAACAATACCTCAGTTACAATACAAACCCCATTTTATTTTTTTTCAAAGTTTATTTATTTATTGAGAGAGAGAGAGAGCAGGGGAGGGGCAGAGGGAGAGGGAGAGAGAAAGAATACCAAGCAGGCTCTGCACCCGCAGTGCTGAGCCTGACATGGGGCTCCAACTCATGAACAGTGAGATCATGACCTGAGCTGAAACCAAGAGTCAAATGCTTAACCTACTGAGCCACACAGGCACCCCTACAAACCCCATTTTATTTTATTAAAACATTTTTTAATGTTTATTTATTTTTAACAGAGACAGAGACAGAACGACGGGGGAAGGGCAGAGAGAAAGACACAGAATCCAAAGCAGGCTCCAGGCTCCGAACTGTCCCAACAGAGCCTGACAGGGTTCAAACTCATGAACCATGAGATAATGACCTGAGTTGAAGTCAGCTGCCCAACAGACTAAGCCACCCAGGTGCCCCCAAACCCTGTTTTAAGGTAGGCAGAGTGAATTGTCTATGAAAAGACTTAAGGGATACAAAGAATATTATTTCTTGGTTTTAAAACCGTATTTGTCATTAAAAACTGTTTTCTAGCAAACTGAGCTTAGAAATTCTTTTGTTGTTTGTTTATTTTTGAGAGAGAGAGAGACAGAGACAGAGACAGAGACAGGGCACACGCAGGGGAGGGGCAGAGAGAGAGGGAGACACAAATCTGAAGCAGGCTCCAGGTAGAACACTGTAACCCTCAAACATGGAAAGAGGCAGGAATGAGGTTTGGGGAACTTTTTCTAAAAGAGAAACACTCTCTTCATGGCACAAGGCTATTAGCATATGCTTTTATTTCCTGTCTATTCATGCTCCAGATGTAGGCCTGAAGACTTAGGTAGGAATTTTAGAAGGACAAACAGAGCTTTTTAAGCTGGCAAGGGGTAAACAGGTACAGATATTCAAGCTGATAAAGATCAAAGGAAAGGTCTGGTCTGAAACAACTAAGCACAATTTATGT